ATTGGCGGCATCCTCCATCTTGACTCGCAACGACGACTCAGACGACGGGTCAAACGACGGATGTAACTGGAGGGCCGCCTTGGCGGACAAATCGCACTGTTGGTCGATGCGAAAAGGCACTAGGTCCTCTGCCGCCACCGAGTATTCGCTCTGATGTGCTTTAACTTTCACCGCCGAAGAAAGGAGCTTGCTACTATCGCTGCCGAGAGCCGTGCGAAACGTGCCTGCATACATGCTTCTATAAGACAATCTCGCGGCGAGAGGCTTGCGATAGCTGTCGAGGACTGATGTACAATCGACGAAAGCTTGCGCTTTTTCTGTTAAGATCTGCTGCAAAGCTAAGAATCCTAAATGTTCAGCCGCCTGCGGTGTTTGAGGAAGAGGGAAAACAACTGGCCCCGAGACAACCACTTCGAGTTCCCCGTCGGCCGCAAATCCTCCTACCGCCCAGGCGGCTCTGTCGAGACTTTTAATGCCAGATCGCGTGCACGTGCCGTTGGACCCCGTGAGCGGGCCTACTTTACAGGTGCAGTGCGTGCCTAAATACGCTTCACGGCCTACCTGACGGATTTCCATAACAAAACCGCTAGCAGGCGAAGGGCACCCATCAGGGTCGGAGGAGGGGTGAGGAAGGATGCCTAACTGGTAAACCAACGACCGATCAGCTGATTCAACGCGCTTAGCCAGCAGGTCGGGGTGAATCAATTTCTTTCTCAGTTCGACAGCCTCCTCAGCCTGGCAGAAGTACAGGCGGTGAACGAGCGTGTCACCTGAACCTCCGCAAAGTGCACACTGGTCCTCTGTGGAGTATCCTGCAGCAGCTGCCCTACTGGTTGTCCAATAACCTTGACATATGACGGCCCTGAGTAGGGCTTTCTGTCCCGAGGATAATTTGATGTGTGAAACTTCATCTTCATCAGGATCTCTGGCTGGTTTTCTGCTTAAAATTCCTCCACCTCCACCGAGAACCCTCCTGACCATGTCGAAACAAACTCTGGGTGCGGGCTCGATGTGGCTGAGACTGCGTGCAGCTTTAATTTCCCAGCGCCTGGCGCAGGCGCCCAGCCAGTGCTCTACCAGCTTTGGCGAGAGATCCGCGAGCGAGAAGGCCTTGTCCTCGTGCGCGACTAGCACGAAGGGTCCTTGAAACTTCCAGCCGATCCTATCGAATGCATGAGCTGCTGCCGTAATCGGACCTCGAACCTGACTGTGCTCCAGGCCCGACTGTGGAGGAACTTGACCCCAAAAAGCTTTCAACTGCAGAAGCCCAATAGTACCCATCGGAGCAGCTTTCCCAACGCTGACAGCCCAAACTTCTTTAGCCCACCTGAGAACTGGCCCAAGAGCCCACTTGTCAGACTTACACCCGTACAACGCAAAAGTCACAGCTCTGCTTTTACCTTTGCATTTGGGCCCCGATGCTGACAACTCAATGCTGCGTAGCTGCTCTAAATAATTGTTTGAGAGCCCTTCTATTTCGGACGTGTAAGCCCCCGCAGGCAGAAGACCACAGGTGACAATTGTCCGAGCTCCTTGTCCAGCAACTCTGACAAGTTGTCGCAATCTAGCGGCGCGAGCTCGGACCTTACTCACCCTTCTGGCTCTTTTGGATTCATTGGTGAGGGTAACCGATTTGCCTGCACGAAAGTCGGACCCCAGATTTGTAGCAGATTGATTGTACTTCCCTGCCCAGGAGCCTAAGGCCTTCAAGACGTTCCAGCCCAACGCCGCCGAGGAGGAAACGAGCGAGCACTTGTCGACAGAGAGCGTAGCGTCTAGATCCTCTTTGATCACCCTCGCTAGCTGCTTGGCGGCATTGACGAGCCACCTGAGAACGCCCTTGCTCAAGCCAAACGCCGTGAGCGAGAAATCGTCTAGGTAAAAGTCGAAGTAGACTGCCGCATTCAATGAGGTGATTCTGAGGAACCCTTGAAAGCAATACATGCGAACATAGACTATGGCAAAAGAGCAGCCTGCCACAATGCCGCGAAAAGCATAAAGTGGCTTGCTGACTGCTCGTTTGTATCCTACGAACCTAGCAGAACCATGCGCAGCACGGTGGAACTGCATAAGAGTAGGACTGAATCCTAATTCTAGGCCCCTATCCTGCAACCTGGCTCTCACGAACCTCTCATAGAAAGAAACCAGGTCCCAAAAGAGGCCAACTGCGGCTTCTCCTGAAGCCTTTGTTGCTTCGCTCCTCAGACTTTGCCTCCAGACAACATCTACGGGTGACCTCCCAGGGCCACAACTGAACCAAGGGTGATCAAACTTGTCCATCCAGGATCTTGCATACGGGAGCCGGATGCGCCCAGAGACCCGATAAAACAAACTGAATATCCCAATAGTGCGGTGCCCTTTGGAGGCCTTGGGGAGAAGTGCCATGAGAACCCATTGAAGCTGCGGTGGTAATTGCCCCAGACACTCCGAGATACCCAAGAGATAGCTGAAAGTCTGCACTCCCTCGCCAGTAAGACACGACAGATGACGACAGTGACATCCATCCAAACTGACCGCAGACTTGGTAGAATAAGACTTGTTTATAGCCTGCACTGCTTCAACCGATGGAAGGGGGATAGCTGTCTGTGCACGAGCAGTGCGATGATGAGGCGAGCATGTTGCCTCCCACATGCTGGAGTACTTGCGATTGTACTCGTCAAGAAGCGCTTGCACACTGGACGACTGAATGCCGTCTATCACAAAGACTTCTGGCTCCCTTTTTACCTTCTCCTTGCAACACCTGCGTGCTTGCCCTGCCCCCTTGCTCAAAGCTTGTGTCACCCAGTCCTGCCAACTCTTCTGGTGTTGCCTACGTGAATCAGCAATCACCGCACGCGCGAAACCTACCACAATACTAGGCTCATGCTCGAGTTCGAATGCTATGTCATTCCCATTGTCCTCATCCAACCCCACCTTACTATGCAGGTATGTGTGTATCTGTTTGGCCAGTCCCTTGACCGCCACAAAAGACTTGCTCGTGCTGGCGTGAGCGAGGACATGATGAGGATTACTGTTGTTAATCTTGACACACAGGTCGTTGAGATCATGCGCCTGCTCCACACGAACACAACGCGAGTGACTCATGCCAAAACGAATACATGCGATCAGCTGAAGCATGCGCCGCGTGCGCGAGACGAGCCAAGCTGGCCCTTGTGCGACTGCTGCAAACTGCTTGTGCACTGGCGTCTTCTGAACTCGTGGAGCGAGGCGTGGCTTCGGCAAAAGACCGCGAACTCCAGGCGTAGTGAGCTTCTTCCCCGTCCTGTCCGCAATCTCCCTTTCTGCCTTGGCCGCCCAATAGCGATAGAGGACCCCATGCACTCTCTCAATGCCCTCTGGCTTCTCCTCCCCCGCCTGCCCCTGCAGCTGGAAAAAGAGCTGCTCGCAGCGCTGCAAAAGGTCGGCCCAGTCGACCGTGGAATTGCCGATCTCTTCGGGCTCTTCTGGCAGCTGGCAGGCGAGTGCGGGCGCGGTGTCGAACTGAAGTATGCGAACGTGCTGCATCCTGGCAGGCAGACCTATTCTGATTGGAAAATGCGGCCTTGCGTGCCATTCGAAATCCGTAGAAACTGAGGTCACCAGTTTGGGCAACTCTGTTTCCACCACGAAATAATCGATAACTTGCGTCTTACCCTTGTCCGAGAGGGGGGGTTCGGCCACCAATACTTGTGCCCCAAGAGCCTCCGAAAACCCAGGCGACGCCAAAGATTCGTAAGGGATGTTGAAATCACCACCAATGATGAACTGCATGTTGGAAGTTTTGCAGTGTGTAGCCACCCTCTCCAAAAGTTCCAAGTTGGTAACAGACAGCCCTTCCGAGACTTTCCCATAAACTGAGACACGCAAGACTCCTGGGGTGCCTGGGAACTCTACCACACAAGACAGGGCCCTGCCCCGAAAGAGAACTCCTTCGGAAGGGAATGAGGGTGGCTGGAGATTGTAGGCCCCTATAGTAGCGCGGACGAAGATGGCTACTCCTGAAGAAACGCCTTCGTCCCCTGGGTCAGTGCGACTGGAACGAGCCGTGCCAGAGGGGCCTATAAAACTCGGAGCCCAGAACGACTTCCACCCATGGTCGAGCGCCCATGCTGAAGCAGTTCCCAGGGGCCCCTCCAGGAGTTTGACTTCCCAAAACTGCAACCGAGGTATTCTGAAGTTCCCCCAGTCTTTGCCTGATAGTACCCCACGACGACCCATTGAATGTTTCCACCAGCATAGCTTCGCCCTCACCTCCGAGATCACCTTCAAAATCGGATGGGTCGAAATCGAAATCGCTACCAGAAAATTCGGGCCCAAAACTGTGGAAGTCGTTCTGCATTGTAATATATGGAGCCCGCTGCAAGCCTGCATGGACTGGAAAGGATTTGTTAGGACCGTGGCCTGACATCAGCCGCACTGGCAGCTGAATCTGCGGGCTCAGAGGGGCGTGGCACATCAGCAGGAGCGCCAGCACGCTGTGTCTCCCTTGGGGAGCGCGACCCGCGGCCCTCGGTGCGCTCCTTGGCGTCGTCAGAGCGCGCGCCCTTGCCACGGCCTGGCCCTGTTCTCTGGCACGGGCTGGCGGCGGCGAAAGTTGCGCGGGGACAGCAGGCCGCTTAGCCACCTGAGCAGGGACCGCAGGGCGCGGAGCTGGCGGCGCACTGGCTGCCTCGGCCGAGGCTGCGTGCACCGGTGTGCCAGGCTGCTGCGCCTTGGCCATCTGCGCCTTCGCGGCCTC